GGTGGAGGAGATAGCAGCAGCAGCTGCAGCATCAGTGCTAGAGGAGATGGCAGCATCAGTGCTGGCGGAGGATCCACCATCGGCAGGAGGAGGTGCAGCAGTGGAGGGGCAGGTGGCAGCAGCAGGAGGAGCAGCAGCAGTGGAGGCTGAGGTGGCAGAAGCACTGGAGGAGGAGGACGCACCGTCGGCAGCTGCAGTGGAGGAGGAGATAGCCGCACAGGCCGAGGTGCAGCGTGAGGGCGATGACGAGCGCCTCATGCAGCAGTTCCTCACGGAGGAGCTCGGTCCGGCCATGGCGGGTATGACCCTGGGTGTGGAGAGGGGGTTTGGGATTTCAGATTCGGAGATTGGGACCCACTTAGACTTGGATTTGTCGGTGGGCCTTCCACCCAGTTGCGGCGGGGCGACATCGACGGATCGGGCTCCATCGAGGGACGAGGCGCCAGGCAGGACTTCGACGCAGACCGCTTGAGAGAGGACGACGACTCAGTCTCCAGATGCAGCAAACGATATCATGGAGCGAGAGAGGGCTAGACTTTTGGCATCGATTGGCCCTCGTGCTCAGGCGTTCGCACGGGCCGTAGAGGACGCCAGGCGTCTAGAGATAGGGGGGGATTGTGTGCAGGGTGGGGTGGTGGCGGGGGAGGACGTTGCGGAGGGAGTGGCAGCAGAGCCGGTACCCAAGGCTATGCCGGGTGGAGCAGAGACAGCGGACGTTGCTATGGAGGGACAAACTCAGGCGGTGGATGAGGTAGTGCAGGCAGGACAGCGACGAGTCGAGGGGGCTATAGACTCACGACGCGAGGGGCAGGAGACAGCGACAGGTCCAGTTGTTCCATTCTCGGGCCTGCACTTGGCTCAGGCCCGACAGCCGCAGGCGGTTCAGATGGGAGTGCATGGTGTGCCACCGCCCGTTATCACAGATTTGGGGTCCGAGCCGGTGGTTGTGCCCCCACGTCTTCCTAGCCACTTTGCTCCGCAGGAGGTCCGTCGTCCTTTGGATGCAGAGGAGTTGGCGAGAGAGGCTGTGCGTGATGTTACTCGCTTCGACCGGCGGATCTTCGACCGGAAGCTTGAGCACCCATCGTGGCAGTCGATCCCTTCGGTTCCATGGGGTCCTGCGTCGCCCGTGTGGTCTGGGTCTACCTCCACTGGAGGACATACCGCGGGACATGTTCCAGGGGTTTCGGGTGGCGTGACGGAGACAACGCCACGCACAGGAGACATGCCACCCCCTCCTCCTAGAGCACCTGCAGGTGATCCATCATCGTCACCCACAGGCAGAGGCTCTCGATCCCCACACATGCCTGGGAGATCTAGGATTCGTGACACGACAGCAGTTCAGCAGGACGTGTGTGACACGACGATATTCGGGAGGACAGATATACATTTGGATTCCMCCCGCCGTGTCACGGAGCACACTGCACGCCTTCAGTCGGGCTTGGGAGGAGGAGGCGCTAGGACGACCACGGCGAGGGAGGTACCGGCATCGGGTTGTGAGCCTCAGCGAGGTCGTGGCAGAGGAGTGTCGACCGATACGATGGAGTACGCTCTGAGAGCAGCGACACGTGCCGTGCAGGAGCAGACTCCACGCAAGCGTGGAGTACCTCCTCGTCCACGCCCCGTGCCTGCAGAGGGAGGCGCAGCACTTGGAGAGAGTTCGGGGGCGGAGGGGTTGGGGATGCCTCGTGGTTCCCGCCGTGAGCAGACCATTGCAGAGGCTAGTGCGAGGGTTGTTGTGTTGAGGAAGGGAGGAGGCCCAGTCACCATCGAGGAGGATGATCCTGATACGGATGCGGCTGTGCGGGATGCGGATGAGGACTACGAGGGCGAGGAGGAGGGAGAGGAGGATAGCAGGAGCAGTTCCGATGGTGACGACGACGACGACCACGATGAGCCCCCACCTTCCCAGGACCCCCACCGACGCGTGCATCTAGACGCTCCGCTGCACGGACTTCTTCATCCTCACGAGGGAGGAAGAGGTCGACATCCGACACTCGAGGGGGCACGAGGAGACACAGAGGGAAGGGGAGGAAGGGTCGTTGACCAATGAGGCCAACACTCCGCTTCTCCCCTACACGCACTGTACGTCGTCATGTTGTGCGGTTGTAGTTTTTTTAGTAGTCTGAGTCGTCTCGTCTTGTCTCAGTATTGTCAGACACTCAGTGGTTGTGTGCGTGCTTTACTTGTTGGTGTGTATGATTTTGGTAGAAGTAGGGTGTTCGTAGAGTATGATTTTGGTGCCAGTAGGTTGAGTAGGGTGTTCGTAGAGTGCCATCGGTTGCACACTACTGAGTTTAGACTGTACATTTTTTTTTTTTTCTTGTATCATTTAGGCAGCTACGACACGACTTGTAGACTATTGTTTCTTGTATTTTTTTCGACATGTGGTGCCAGTGCATTAGCAGTAGCCTGTAGGATACATTGTATCATGTTGCATTTGCATGTGTGATATTAGTGTCAGCCTGTCAGGTACTTCGCATCGTTCACGACTTTTCATGTACATTACATTTTCTGTTACGAGTGATGCACTTTGCTTGCCCATTTTATTGTCGGTGTGTGGTTTTATATCTTTAACTGTTGTTCTCATTTTCAATTTCATTTCTTGCATTTTTTTCTTTTAATTTATTTATGGCTTCGAGAGTTCGGTATCTTATTTGTTGATTCTATTTGCATTGAATGAAACACTCACTGATGTTTCGGGGGGTGCCCAGGGTGGGGGGTTTT